ATGTATTTCATGGGCAGACAAAGGGTATGATATTTCTGTTTTTATTATCATTTTTATTATTATTATTATTATTTTCATATTTACTATTATCATCATCATTGTTTTTATTATTATTATTATTATTATTATTATTCTCATATTTACTATTATTATTATTATCATCGTCATCATCATCATCATTAGCATCATTATCATTATCATTATTATTATTATCATTATCAATATCATCATCATCATCATCATCATTATCATCATCATCATTATCATCATCATCATCATTATTATTATTATCATTATTTATTATTATGTTTATCTGTTATTGTTGTTGTTGTTGGTGGTGGTGGTTGTGGTGTTTTTGTTGTTCGAGCTTTTTGATGTTTATTTATTTATTTTTTTTTTTGATTAATTAATCAAATGACCTTGGTCATCAAGGTCAAATAATTTAATTTGCATTAGCTTATGTTACTTATCTTATTTTTTTAATTCTCATAACTTCTGTTATCAATTTAAGGCTTTTAATTCATATCTCAAAATTAGATACTCAACTCAACAACTCAAATAATTTTATTGGCATAAAACAAATAACAAGTTTATAGACATACAAAATATAACCAGTTCAGTGATAATAGAAAGACATGCATGTAATTTATATCATTTACATAAGATTACTGTAAAGACAAATACATAGTATTTTTTTCTAAACATTTTACGAAGGATTAAAGCAAAAAAGGGTATATCTTCGTTTCTATGAAGACTTTCAGATAATAATTTTCACTGAAGACTTGTGGGCATCTGTTTTAGGTTAGAATGCACAAAGCGTCACCAGAATCGACGTTTTCAATATTAAATTAGGTCCAAAGAGAAGTTGTCTCCAGTTTTCCTGCTACCCCGAGTGACTGCGTCGCACGATATTTCCATCAAATTGTCCATCAACAGGCAATATCTTTACATGTGCATACTCAGAAAACACATCGCTAGCTAACTGCATTTCGATATTCTAACATAAATGTCTGTAATCTTCAAAAATTATGAAAAGCTCACCTTGTTTATCTTGTCACACGTCAAAGATGGGTGCTCACAACGAGGAACGGAAGTTGCTCACAACATTTTTACCGATGGACATTTTTCTCTCGTTGTGAGTTAAACGGGCGTGATATCGGATTGTTGCAACCACACATAGATAAACCCGTGTTTTTGCAAAATACTCTTTATTTGAAATGCCCAGTTACCCTCGTAAACATTACCTAGCTCGCAATCAGTTTTCAACATTATGTAAACCTTTTTTCTGAAGTGACGACTCATCTTGATGTAACAGGGTAGAATTTATAATAAACTCCTGGCGTACGTTCGTCAATTTAATATAATACGAAAATAACGCCTAAAAACATAAATACATGATTATAATACAAGTTAATTACAACATTCATAAAATACAACAATACAACAATTGAACGATGCAAATAAGAATTATTTCAAGTAAATGAATAAAATGAAAATTATCTTACCATACAAAAAGTAAATAACTTTATAATAAGTTATTTCCTATCAAAAATTCTATGAAAAAAACTTATATAATCAATGAAAGTACAACTGTTTATCTAAACTCGTAAGAGAATAAAGTCGAAGTGAAGTGGAGAAGGAAAGTTCGCGGGAATTTGGAAGAAAGAAATTGTTAAAAACCAATCTAAAACTTTCTGTCAAAACTCTTTCATACAACGTACAAAACGATTGGACATACAAAAACAGATTACAAAATTGCACGAGATACAGATATAGTTGAATTGTTTCGGCCGTTTCCGTGAATTTCCGCTAATAAGCGTACGCTACGGAACCATCCGATACAATACAATAGCAGACGATAACAGACGCCACGGAGACAAACGATAATCGACGCATGCGCAGACATTAAGAATACTTTTCCCGCGACTAAATTACGAACAGTACACGGCAAAATGAACAATTAATATAATAAATAAAACGACCCGTGACATTAATGTAATATTATCACCCAGTATTCAATCATATTAATCTTACGAATTACGGACATAAGTATTCTAGCTAATTCTCCATAGAGTGCATTTAAGTTTGTAGATTTTTTACACTTAACATACGGCGCAGGAATTTCGTGTGTACATGCTCGATATCGTGAGCAAGGTGCATACCCCATAATTCCGATCCAAAATTTAAGATGGGCGATACCAATGAATCAAATAGCTTACATTTCTGATATATTGGCAGTTCTACGTTATTTAATATTGTAAAAAGATTGTGTAGCGCAGAGCCAGCATGCTGCGCAATATTTTTCTGTGATCGATACAAATTTCCATTTTTTAAAAAGTTAAGCCAAGATATTTAAAAGAATTAACTATTTCTATAACTTCATTATTTACATAAAAATTATAGGTAGTATGTCTCCTCTTTTCAAATAGCCTTTGTTTTAGATTTGTTTATTTTTAAACCCCATGTTTACCCCAAAATTAGATAAAAGAACCGACATCTGGATAATTTGACCCTGTCCTTGAAAAGACATTGACCGTCAAGGTCAAACTATTGAATTTTGCTGAAATTGTATAACTTTATGTGTTATATATCCAAGGATGAAACTTCTTTATCTAATTCGTGGAAACGAGATAGCATCTTGTAGGAACGAGAAAATATCTCGTTGGAACGAGATAATTGTGTTGTGGGAACGAGATAATTATGGTGTGGGAACGAGATATAATATCATTAAAATCAGATCATCGTTTTTGCTTCGTAAAGTGTAATGAAGGGTCATTTAGAATATGATTTAAATTGAGATTTGAACGAGATAATATCTGGTAGGAACGAGATAATATCCTGCGTGAGTGAGGCAATTATGTCGTGGGAGCGTTATATTATCTCCCGACTACAAGTGAACATGTCACCTCTGTGCCACCGTAGTAAATATCGTCGCAACATATTTATAAATAAGTACATGTGCATTGGAAATTCTAATGCGCAAATACTCAACAATTTCCCATTTTTCTATTTTTAGAATCTGGGTTTACAATAAGTATGTGTGAGATGCGAAGTTCAGTTATACACTTCTTACAGACTCCGGATTGTTCACACGTCATGCATGAGTCTCCGAATACCTGATCTATAAAGGTAATTTGATTAATATAAAATTTCTAGCAGTAGTAGCCTCTGTAGTAATGATTTGATGTGTGTTTATAATATATTTATTATGTCGGTAATGTACGTAGATATTATATATACTATTAAATTAGGTGATCATTTTCGCTTGGTTACTCAACCTTCCAAATTCACTACTTTCCATTTATCATCGAACACCCAGAACGGACGGACTAACCTGGGCTAGAAACTAAGCATGTAAACAAATAGAATTTTAAATGCTTACTTTTTTCCATTATTTCGTGTTAAAGTCTACCTAAATTGAGTAAATTTCGCGGGGGAAGATTACAAACATTTCGTGAAAGACCAAAAATTGCTCAAAAGTTAACTTTTGTATTAATAAATTAATTTTAATTTAAATTGTTTTGAAAAGATGTTGTTTTTTTTCATATGCAATCAAAATAAATATTGCTTTACTTTTTAGAATTATAATCATTGAGTACAAACATATTTGGACGGATTATACAGTGACGCATTCTTAACATTTTGTACATACATGTAATCTAAAATCTTGAAAAGCGTACTTTTAAAAAAAAATCTAACATGCATATATGTATAATGTCCCTTTCAATCTCAATCTTCAAATATGTATTAAAAGATTTATTGTGTACTTTAAAGATAAACTATGCTCAAATATGATGTTAGAAAATATTGATAATTGATACACAGTCTCTTTGTAAATATAACTTATCAGATAAACACGTTTTGACTTCACACGGAGTAGATATGTTATGATTTAAAACTGTACACTTTATAGGTCGTCACAATAGTCATTAAATAAACCTTGCTTTTTTTTTTAAAGAAAGTACCAACTTTGCTCGATCCGTGATAGGGAACGCAGCGTCCCTTAAATTTCATTTACAGTATTATCTAAATACTTCTATGGCTGTTTGCATATACCATAGACTTTCCTGTGTACATAGTATTAACTGAAGCAGGTGAATCATTAAACGCTGACTCTGAATATTATGCTCACGTTTAATGGCAGATATTTTCAGTCTATGTATCATATTCAAAACCTTTAATGAGAGGTGCCCGTACACCCCCACCCCTGGATGATAGAATGTCAGGGTGAGAAATACGTGCAGCCTGACCGTGACTCGATCCCGAGTTGTTGTACATATTTTTCATCGGAAATCAACATATCTATTTAACGATGCACATTTCACTGAAGAATATAAAGTTGAGACCCCACCCATCCCGTGATTTATTTATATACGGTACTTATTATAAAACCGGCACTTTATGAGAAAAGAATTTCCAATATTCAATGTCTCACTCAACTAGTCGATCATATGGTAGATTAACCTTCCAACCATATATACTCCTAGATTATTATGAGTTATTGTAGATGTGTTCCGTTAAGGGAAGTGGACCATCAATTAAGATGTGAGTATAGTAGGAACGAGTTAACATCTTGTGGGGACGAGATAATTATGTCATTGGAGCGAGATATTACCTCGTGACCAAGAGACAAATACAAATGTGCACATGTCACCTCTGTGCCACCATAGTTAAGATGGTTGCTCTTTTATTACGTGGCAGTCTGTAGCTATAAACAAAATTATAAATAAATATGATAAGGTTAATTTGAACGTCTCCAAATATTGTGAAATACTGAAGGACTTTCCATGTTCTATTTTTAGAAACAGGGATTTCACTTAAAATGTATATTATCTGAAATATTCCGTTCAATACCCACCATATAGTTCACTATCCGACAACCTACTTAATATAATCCAGTGCGTGTGTATTTATATTCTTATTGATATTATAAGACCGATGAAGTAGATATAAAGTTGATTATTGGAAATGGATTTCATACAAATCAGGTTATCGTTGTTGCTCCGTAAGCGACGGGTACAGTCGAAACAACTCGACGATTATTAATCCTTTTCCACGGTATAGGAAGGTACACCGGATATAACCGTGTTTTGAGTCAAAACTAAGTCGGAGGAATTTACCGGAGGTAAGAAAAAAAATCTAATTCTCAGCTCGTATGACACAAATTTAACTTGAGTTTAATTTTATATTTCCCTTAATACATGCCAGATATGATATACGTACAAATATGAACAATTTGACGTTCTATTGTTTCACGGAAGAAATTATTTCCAAAGTACATGTACTAAAAAATCTAGTTTCTTTATTAATCTCGTCCAAATATAAAAATTCTGAATCGGCAGTACTGGGTGTAGTACTTTAATGTACTGGGTCTAAAAAATACTGTAAATGTATTGTATTGGGATTAAGGCGTTGATATTTTTTGCTAATTCATAACATTCTAATTCATACTCGATCGTGTTTTGATAATGCCGAACAGAAGCACATAAAAAATCGGCAGACTAGAACAACGATAACAAAATAAAAACAAACAAAATAAAATCAAATTCTAACTTATTCTTGATACTTGTAAATATTCAATATCTGGGAAATATAAAATCAAACTCGGGTCAAATTAGTGTCATGTGAGCTAAGAATTAGATTGTTACTCAAAACACAATTGTATCCGGTGTACGATCTTATACCGTGTTTTTTTTTTTGAAATTGGCGGAAAGTTGCGATTGGCAAAGGGTAGTGGAGCGTCAGTTAGGATATGGTTTTATCGAGGCTGTAACAGTGTAACATTTCATTATAATTATTAAGATGTACGTTTTCAAAATGCTAAAGCACTATTTTTTCCTGCTGTATGTCAGATTTTATTGAATTTTATAAAAAGAATAGCGTAATGATCACTTTCTTAGCATATAAAGGTCTCATTGGCCTCCCGTGCACCAATAATAGTAAACATTACAAAAATCGACTACCAAACATATTTAGTATCATTCAGTGAATTACTGAATTCAAACTTTATAGGTAACATTTTGATAGATAACCTTTAACGACATGTTCGGATTCCGTACTCTCAGTACCTGCGAATGAACCCTCATTAAGCGTAGAATATATGCATACATATCTTTAAAAGTTAGCCAACCGATTTCCGCGAAAGTATCCGTAATTGTACCAGATACCTACGGATAATTAAAATTAAGAAAACCTTTGAATTGTTTTTGAGAACATGCGATTACTACTGTTTTAATAGCTGTGATCGACAAATAGCTATATTAAGCGACTTACCACCATCATAACCTTGTTTGTTACTAGAAATAATAAATAAGACACGTTAGAAATTAAAGTGAAGAATATACATTGAGTAAAAACGAATAGCTCACAGATCTCCATATGAATGCAAAGAAAACCTCTTTCAATTTTTCTTAATAAAAGGCAGTGTTGCTTTTTGTCTGTTAGCCCACGATTTAATTATCTCGTTCAAACGACTTAGTAACTCGTGGTCACGACATAGTATCTCGTGCGCATCACTTAATTATCTCGTGCGCACAACTTAGTAACTTGAGCTCGTAGTCACGACATAGTATCTCGTACGCACCGCTTAATTATATCGTGCGCACGACTTAGTTACTCGTGACTACGACATAATATCCCGTGCGCACGAGATAAATAAAAATACACACATGTCACCTGGCTTCTGTGTTACCGTATAGGACTTGCTAGAAATCTTTTTGTTTTTATTTTCGAGTGTTTACCGTATCCCTCTATCAGTTATGGAAAACAGTGTGCTGGAATGTTGTCTGAAATCATCTGGGGGTTTCTTAATTTTGATATACCGTGGGAAGCTTGTACATACGCATTATCTCGGCGAGATCGGTGATATTGATAAATAACATAAATACCTGAATCGGGCACAAAAACGCGAGAGTTCCGTATCCTTAATGACACCTTTAACGACACACTTGGCTGACGACATGTCTATTCACACATACATATATGTAAAATATGTTACACATTTTAGATTTGATATCAATATTGTTATCAAAATGAAATGAGTTGAAAACTAAAAGCATTATTTTTAAAAAGAAAAGAGGATGTATTACCTGAATGTAAACTAGTTTGTGATTACTGATTCAGTATTTGGAACTTTGGAATGAACAAAGATTGCTTGTATATGGGCAGGTACGGCTTATTGGCCGATAAACTCCAGCGAGCCACATTGGTAAACCAGAGCAAGAAAAATCTAAGATGATATACTTTCCGTTTAAAAGGGCAAACTGTGTCATAAATTAGAATTTTCATTTTTCCATGGTATAGTTTCAATCCGCTGGATTTAACGTATTTTCAGCATTTATACGTAACATTTTCATTATTTGGTCGTCTTTAAATATAATTTCTGGTATCATTTCAGTTGATGTTTAGGCTTGGACATTTCAAGCTATGGCGCTAAGTAAACAACTCTGTAGACGAGAGCAAGGGTTCAGCTACCCAGTTGCTGACGACCAACGTTCGGATTCGTTTTCTGAAGTCTTCGACGAAATCAGTTTTTGTGTCAGACCGGAAGAAGACCGTGAGATAATAAGCAATCACCTTCACGATGATACAGATGATTCATCGTCTGCTAAACCAACCGTTAGCTGTGCAAAATGTGTGGAACATGTACGTGTGGAGAGGGTGTCACAAATTCGGAGAGGCCATCATATAACTATGCCTGGTAAAACAGTTGGGAACAAGTATGATTCTGAACGCCGAAAGCAGAAGTGGATATACATGCACCATGCCATTGTAAAAGATATCATAGCTAAGGATGACCGGAGGTCAATCGTGGAGCTGAAGTTAATCCACATGTGGGAAAACGAACGCGGTGAGCTTGGGCTTTGTGAAACGGAGACGCAGTTCGCTCTTGCAAATGACGAGTTGTACATAGTAGAATATAAACATCCGAGATTTACGCGAGAACAGGTGGTAGAAAGAGCGGAGAAAGCGCTAAATGACCGAGAAAATGCTCGTAGTGAATCAAGATTCATACGGTTTAGTTGTTACAATGTGGTCACAACAAACTGTGAACATTTTGCCACTTGGTGTGTGGTAGGCTTACAAAAGAGCCACCGAGATTTGTATTTCTGGCAACAAATAGGTCAGAAAATCGTTGCAATAGGCGAGAGTTCACAAGTCATGGAGATGAAGACGCGTCTTGTTGAAATATTTGGAAGTGCAAGCAAAATAGTAAAATGCCTCAAAGTTCTGTTCGATTCTTCAGATGAAATTACGAAAATATTGGGTAACAGCATGCCGAGTGCAACAACAATATTAAGCGTCACTGCCGCCATTTATGTATTATATTGCATAATTATGACTATATACTTTAACTATAAGTACGCCAGGAGTGAAATATGTGGCTCATGTTTTCGGAACAGTATAATGGATCTTTGGGCTAGGTGTTCTTTGTATGGAATCACCTCTATAGCCACGTTTTTCATATTGAGTAACGGCGTATCAATTCCGGCTGTGGTGGGCTGTTTCGCGCTGATAGCGTTGTCGGTGGTTTGTCAACATTACATCCCAAATATAAGAAAAGCACTGATGGCCCCATACGGGTGCAGCAAGACCGCAATATATCGGCTTGATGACATAAATATCGGAGATATTGTCACCATACACTACTGGGGTCTACCCCATGACGTCATTGTTACGGAAGTTCACACTAATAGTAGAGATAAGAAAGGCAAGATTCGAGTTGTTCACTATGCTTTAGACAAACTGTTTTCCACCAAAGAAGTTAAGGAAGAATATTTTACATTTAGATCGGTTAAAAAATCTTTTCCACTATTGCGCCGTCATGAATGTGGTCATTTGAATTTGTTCCCTCCTGAAATTGCTGTCCTGAGGGCAAAGCAGAGAATAGGTGAAAGGAAATGGCACTGGACTAAAAACCGTTCCGATCACGTTTGCTACTGGGCGAAAGTAAAGCAATACTTGACAGCAGATGAAGCAGGCGACACGTCACATGGACCGTCTGCTTCTCTAGAAGGTCAAGGTCAATCGAAACATCCAAGTACCTTGTTTATGGGAGAGATGGAGGCACATCTCAGTAGCGACATAGAAATTGGAGACGCTGTAAGAGTTAAAGGTGTTGAGGGAATACTTGTATACAAAGATTGTGGAGAAAGGAAAATGAAATTGGAGATTATCACTGTTAAAGATTCCGTGAAAAAGGTGAGGCAATTTGTAAATCTCAATACTGACAATGTTACAGTTTTGAGATACCATCCGGTACATTGTCATCCGAAACCAGTGCGAGTTGATCGGGCAAGATTGATTAGAGGCCAGAAAATCCCGTTGAAAAATTTTATGGATTTTTGTTTGTTGCTAAACAGTTAACTTTAAGTGACTTTTTATACAGATTCTGTTTTCGACAGAATTAAAGAACTACTATTAAGCAGCTCATGCCAATGTATCTATCTACCAAGCAGGACGTATGGGCTAATCTATAGCGGAAATGTAAATTGTGACAGTCATGCGCAGGAATGTACGTTTTAGAACGGATACCTAAATGCCTTTGGCTTAGTTAAACGAAAGTACTATAAATATATTTATTGCATTATTATCCATTAGTCTTTCATGTTAGAATATTTTTTCATCATTATTTATGACTATAATATCCATGAATGAAGATTTTGAATATTGTCAATACTAAACAATTTTTGTCCTTTTCAATCCTGTTTATATAAGGTTGTTGTATCATAATTGTTTATGTTTGTATTATATGAAATAAATACTGTTTAAACCAAACATTTTTTTCTCTCCAAATGCGGGTAGGTTAGAATGTTTAGATTTCACAATAGTTGTCAAAGTGAACTCTGAAAACGTTCAATAGCAAGACAAATGAATTACTTAGACTTGTTTTACTCATACAATATCCACAATATCTGTTATTGTAACTTCCAGGGTTTGTTCGTGTGACATAACTTGTTTTAAAACTACTTGGTGATTCTGTCGGCGTCTAAATTTCGTTCAACATATGATGATATATTTAAAGGGATACTCAGGCAAATTAGTGACAAAAGTATCAAAATTAAGTTATGTACTCGAATCACGCTAAATTGACATTTGTAAAAGTCCCAGCATGAACTTCTGTATAAATTCTATATATTTTGGGTTTGAAGGACAAAAAATGTATGTTGAATGAAATTTAGACGCGGACAAAATCGCCGAGTAGTTCTAAAACAAGTCATGTGACTTAAACAAACCCTGGAACTTACAATTACAGATATGGTGGATATAGTATGATTGGAACAAACCTAAATCATTCATTTGACATGTTCTCTAACGTTTCCAGTGTTCACTGTGACAACTATTGTGAAATCTTAACATTCTAACCTGACCCGCGTGGGTCAGGTTAGGAAACCACCATTTTATTCTTTTTAGGGAGAACAGTTTTGTTCCTGTGACTGCAAAGTGTATTCATTTTGAAGACATTTACAGGTTAATGAATGAAAAAATTCAAAACGTGGAAATTAAAAGTTTGCCTGTGTCTCCCTTTAAGCTTCAAACCCAAAATATATAAAATTTATACAGAAAACGGTGACTTAACAAATGTCAGTTTAGCGTGGTTTGAGTAAATAAGATCATTTTTATATTTTTGTCATTAATTTGCCTGACTATCCCTTGAAATGACAAAAATACAAAAAATGATAAACTCACTCTCCAAAGTTAGACTGAATATCATTATATAGATGTTTTTGGTTGTTTTTAATTATTGTTATTTTTCAGGGAATCTGTATAATTATATGTTTCTCATTGTTCGATAAGTGTTTGTGTGCATTTGTGCTATGAACCTTTCATCGTGTTTTTGTTTATCTTTTATATATTCTTTGTAGTTCTAATCAAATGCATGTAATATGCCATGATTAAATAAATAAACTATGCTAAACTTTAACGATTGTCGCCTCTTGACGTTATTCGTTTCATAAAATCTTACTGTTAAAATTAATGCAGATTTTTCTTATTAAGAGCTTATTAAGTTCGGTAATTCAACATTTTCTACTGCAGTAACTGATATTTTGCACTGTTCAATGAGAAAAACAAGAAAATCATTGATGCAAAGCATCAAAGGCGACGCCAAAATTTTTTATCAAGTCTTGCACCTAAATACTTAACAAAAGATGTGTATTTTATATCAATACCATTACATGTGACCTGGAGGCTAGGACCCTGTTTAAGTTGAAACTTAAACCAAAAAGAATAGACTCTGTCTTGCCAAGATGGAAAGACAATTTATAGTCAATTAATCAATCACTAATAAGACTCATGCCATAAGAAAAAAATTCTTCAGATTTATTTTACCAGATACAAGGATACCTGAGTCATCAGCATATAATAAAAGCTTACTGCTTAGGGTTGCAGACATGTCATTGACATATATAATACATAAAGGAGGACCTAAAATGAACATCAGGGTGACACCATAGGTACTCGTAGCAGTAGTAGAATAATTGAGTACAAGCCACATCCACCAGCTGCTGACCATCAGAGATAAGGCTTGAACCATGTAAGAATGTCATTACCTATGGCAGATGCTTAAAGTTTCATGGAGAAGAAGTAGAAGAACTTCTTCATGTGCAATTTAGTGTCAACTGTATCAAATGCCTTTTGTGGATCTAAAAGTATCATGCATACAATAAGCCTTTGTCCATTTCAAATTTAATACAATCTGTTAAATAAATCAAAAATGTGTCACTTAAAATCGCTTCTGAACCTTGATTGAAACTGCCTGACCATGACTAGAACCCATGACTGTCAGAAGACCAATTTAGCTATCCGGCCGACTACACATTTTCTCTTTAATAGTGAACAGTTCTAAACCATAACATATTTCCCCACTATATTGATTTGTGTCCTTGAATTTCTGATGTTTATAGAGCATAGTGAATTAAACTTGGGGGTTATATGCAGTCACAGGATGAGAAAAACTTTCAACTTGACCAGAACTCGAACCTGTGACCCGCAGAAAAATTATACCACGGCTATAGCGATTGAGCTTTCTGACCGCTTACACATTTTCTCCCCCAAATAGTGAACAGTTCTATACCGTGACAGATACTTTTAAAATTTTTAATCAACATGTAACATGTAGAATTATTCTTAATTAAACATATAAGAAAAAACTTACTCATAGTCTTAATTAAAAATTGTATAATTATCTTTAATAAAATAGGGGTTAGACAGTAATTGGTTGTACCATTATTTATAACAGGTCAATTTGAAAGTGAACATAACTGTACTAATACATGTACAATATCTAATTTTTTGTACAGATAAAAAACTAATCTTTTTCTTGATTGAATTTTTTTGGAGGCTGATTTATGCCATGTTGTATTTTGCATCAGGGGGCACCGGGCGAAAACATTAACATACAACAAACAATATTGTGATATATTTTCATGTTTTCATCTGGCGCCCGGTTACTTTTTGTACTTCGTCGGTTTTTATGTGCAAAAAACCACTTGCTATAAAATTAGTGCACAAATTTATTCAAGTGCAAGCAACAATCTACTCTATGAAAGGTCTGTATTCGGGTTGTCTCTGCCCGAGACCTGGAGGTTAAGACCGGTGTGCCTCCATTACAAAGACAGGAGCTGCCCTTTTCAAACTATGCACATGTTAGAAAAAAATAAAATAACAATTCAGAATTTGATTTTTTGAGACTTAATAAATTATATTGCCTGATCCAAGTTTTAGGACATTTTCTTCCCTTAAAGGACCAGCACTGACCTACTAGCACAGAGAGTTGAAATATATATCTATATTGCCATGAAACCGTGTGGAATTCCACCATGGACCCTGCCATCACTAGTAATGGACACTTATTTAACCTCAATTCTCGATAGTTCATTATATAACCTTCCAAATCTCAGAAGTTCAGAAGATAAACCACAATATCCAGGCTCAGTCACCCTTTACAATAATCCTTTTACTCTATTATAGAAACTATAATAACCTGTAGACTAATCAATGCATGTATTATCATATATAAATTTAAATGCAAGTCCCATCCCTTTTATAAAAAAGTCATAACGGTAAGTATTTAAAAACAAAAATATTTTAAGTGTCATCATATCTATATACTAAGATATACATGTATGCACATAACATTAGACTTTACTATAGAACAACTTACTGCATATATGTCAAGTTTTAAATTGATTACTTAAGTATGTTATCCTTTATGTTATCCTTTCTCTGTTTCAATATATGGACATGAACACCTATATACATAGCTTTAATTTTCTACTTTTCATTTTTACCAAAGATTAGTGATTAGAAGATTCCTGTAGAGAATACCTCTAGGTATGTACTAACTGAACAAACAGTATAAGGTATATAAAGCCAGTCAAAGAAAATCATCAATATTCCTCAATGCTTTTGATGACCTTACAACTGGTAAATTTTATTCATCAAAAATAGTAAGTACTACCTAAGGTAGACAGAAAAGAACAAATAATTCAGTAAACATGAGTTACTTCCTCTTAAAATAGAGAAAACTTGAAACCCAAAAGAACACCCTAAACAGCAAAATTATGAAATGTTGCAGGGTCAGTTTTATCAAGCCATGCAAAGAAATGGTAAAAAGTATTCATAAAAAGTTAGATGGTCATGTGACAGCAGTAACTGAAGAAAATCGGATAGATTTCACATCAGGATGCTGGTACACTTTGTAAAACAATCATTTCTGCGCAATTATAGATAAACGTAATATGGATAAAAGCAATCGGATAACCGTAAATTAAAGTTCAATTACCAATCCTTATACTCATTGCAGGTGAACGTTCTTCTTGTAGGAAAATTAAAAAAATATACAAATTAATGAAAAAGAATACGGAATCAATGTACACCACAACGATATTTGAAATCCGGGTTTTAGTATTGCCAACAAAGCTAAGGGACAAGCTGTTAAACTAAGCTTGCAATTTCGTGAAAATAATATCACAATGCACATACTTTTTACAGTGAGTTATTAAATACAAATATAACAACATATTTGTTTACTTATTTTTACGAATCAAAATAAAACTAATTAACACAACATGACATTAACTGATAATACTAGTAATAACACCTCCTTCCATAGGCCAAAAGAAAAAAGCATTCCATAAGAGACGACGCCGCTCACCGGCGTCACCAATAACACCATTATGGGGATACTGTAGTATTTTCGGCTAGGTCAAAACACCCTGTGTTGGCTAAGAGAAACCACCTGTATAAGGTTGTAAAGTACTCGAAAAATAATCACTGGACTTAAATAAAGTAAAACAACAACTACGACAACTAAAACAAAAATAAAAAGCTAAAAATGAAAATAACAAAAAACTAAAAAAATAAAACTAAAAAATAGAAAAACGAGCAAAATTCGTTGAATTTATATCCCCTGCCGAGTACTGGTTATTACTAACACAACAACTGAAGACATACGGCTTTATTTATATATATTTATCATAGCGTAAACAGTAACAATTTTATACATGATAAATATTCAGGGCACTTACAGAGCCATAGTTCCGTGTTAAATAGTAATATCTGGACATGCCATTGAAATGTAAATTGCCTTTTGTAACGATGGTTCCAATAAAGTTTTGTTGAAATCAATACAGCAGTTGCAAAGAAATAGCAATATTGCTCTATATGCATACTGCATAACAAATCAAGGGCCATAAGTCTGTAATGAAGGGTCTTGTCTGAACATGGCAACAAATTGTGCACATCTCCTCTTGGTAGTAATGTTTACCATAAAATTTAATTGAATTCCAGTCAGTAGTTGCAGAGAAGTAGCGTGGAAACAATTATTGCTCTATATGCATACTGCTTAACTAATCAAGGGCAATAACTCTAAGTTTAAGTGTCTGACCAGAACAAGGCATTATTATGCGAATCTCCTATTGGTTTTGAAGGTTCCCATAAAGTTTGCCCTATATGCATACTACATAACTAATCAAGGGCCATAATTCTGAGTTAAAGTGTCTGACCGGAGCAAGGCGATGATATGCGCATCTCCGGCTGATATTGAAGGTTCCCATAAAGTTTCCTTGAATTCCAATCAGTAGTTGCAGATAAGAAGCGCGAAAATTATTATTGCTCTAGATGCATGCTGCAAAATTTATCAAGGGCCAGAACTCTGAGTAAAGGTTTCTGACCGGAACAAGGCGACGATATGCGTATCTCCTGTTGGTATTGAAGGTTCTCATAAAGTTTTGTTGAATTTCAGCCAGTAGTTGCAGAGAAGAAGCGCGGAAACGATTATTGCTCTATATACATACTGCATAACAAATCAAGGGCTATAACTCTGAATTGAAGGGTCTGACCGGAACAATCCAACAATATGCGCATCTCCTCTTGATTATGATGATTCCCATATTCCATCCAGTAGTTGCAGAGAAGTAGCGCGGACACGATTATTGTTCTATATGCATACTGCAGAGCTAATCAAGGGCCATAACTCTGAGTAAAAGTGTCTGACCAGAACAAGGTGACGATATGCGCATCTCCTGTTTGTATTGAAGGTTCCCATAAAGTTTCGTTGAATTCCAGCCAGTAGTTGCAAAGAAGTAGCGCGATAACGATTTTTGCTCTATATGAATACTGCATAACTAATCAAGGGTCATAACTCTGAGTTAAAAGCTTTCACTGGAACAAGCTGACGATATGCGCATCTCCTCTTGATATTGATGAGTCCCATCAAGTTTCGTTGAATTTCAGCCAGTAGTTGCAGAGAACTAGAGCGGAAATGAAATTCGGACGGACGGATGGACAATTCTACTGAGTTGACATTATGGTTTTTTTCTTTGATCTCCTTTGATCTCTAAAACCCAATACGCATCGTATTTGCACCCCATAAGCAACCTGATTCCCCACAAGTACCGTCTGTACGGAATGAATATGGATATTCACCCAATAACGTCACTTGAAGTTGTACGGACGGACGGAAAGACAGACGGACGGATTTACGGACGAACAACGCCAAAACAATATCCCCTTCCGAATTCTATCGGCGAGGATGATTAAAAATATATTTTTCAGTGACGGCACTCATCTTGTTTTTAGTTTTAAATATCCATACCACAAAAGAACCAATTTCCAGCACCATAAGTGATATAATTCTATGAAACAACTTCTGCAGACAAACAGTCTTTAGGAGACAAAGATTTTGGTTGTTACCGTGATTTGTTCCTTTAGTATATTTTGAAGTCCTAATTTTGGAGGAAATATTTTTTCTTTCTTTTCAAATATATCTTGTATTATAATAATCTTAACATTAAAATAGAAATAAGCATGGTATACTTGCTATATAAAATGTTTTTTTAAGTGTAACCTACACAGCTAGGTACATTTATTATTTAATTGATTTATTAACAAAAACTCATGGTTCTTAAGGGCATAACAGTGAACAAACAAACAATACAACAAATAATAATACAAACATGGCATAGAAGTAAATAATGAAGATGACTTAGTGAAATTTCATCATTACTACTTTAACAAAAATGGCTAGATTAAATAGTGTATTACTGTTATCACAACAAATACGAGCCTGAGAAATACTAGGAAACATTGAATAGTAATTACTGATATACTTGTGTCTTTTATGGGTAAAATAACTATAATTATCTTATTATAAAACGATCATTGTTTGACAGGATGCAGTACATAAAAAGTCACACTGTACTTTTTGTACCGCGTCCATGATTGGCCTTAGATCGGACATTTTATATTTGTAATGTGTTTTCTACTATATAGAATGCTAAGATCAGCTTCATCTTTAAGTATTTTAATGAAATGGTCTAATTATATAAATGATATTACAAATACAAAGGAAAGAAATAAATAATGAACATTATGTTGTGTATAATTTCCAATTTATGCAAAATCTGTATCGCTTTGAATGCATAAAACGTATATACATGTATCATCATGGCGGGTTAGTTGATGGCATTTTTGCTCATGTGTTTTGCAGGAAATACCGCGCTTTCATAATCCATGCGTATTCGTTATCGTCGTCGTCGTGCAACAACTTTATTGAAGATCATTTTTCATAAAGTTTTTTAAAGGTATCAACAGGAAAATTTCATATGCGTCCACATCATGACACGATGCAGTTGCAATACAAGGGGCATAGCTCTTGTCGCTATATTTTCGGAGTAATGCTCCTTTTTTAGAAATTGCGCATAAAATAGAAAGATTTTAAACTTTGAAACGTAAACATAAAACTTAGAATACTTGACTATCACGACAGGGCAAAATTTGAGACAAAGGGCAATTATCTGAAAGTTATACTTTAGCAGTTATCCCTCCTTTTTATTTAATAATTTTGTCAAAAAAAGCTTATTCAGTAGAATAATTTCAAAGCTATGATAGATATGAACATGAAACTTGGAATACTTGATTATCACGACAATGCAAACTTATCAGACAATGAGATTCTCCTACTTACAATATTTTTGGGAGTTGTGTTTCTTTTTATCTAAGAATATTTATAAAAAGAATTAATAAAACATTTCGTTTTGGAGAATAAAATTTGGAACATCTCGGATATATTAAGAAGCACTGGTGAGCTGTTTCGTCTTAAAGTGAAATAATCTACAGCGGAAAGTCTGTGATACAACAACTAAGTATGTTGCTAGCGTGATCCTATATTACATATATTTATATAGCGAATCATAAAGTATTCTAAAACAAAATATTGTAATTTATCATATAAAAGATCATACTAAATCAATTAAAAAACTTAATCAACATGCTTTCTCATGACATGTATTAAATATACCTAAAGGATACATTTTTATTGTTCTTTATAAATATTTCGAAGAAAGGAAAAGAAAACGTATGGACAGTCTGCTCATAGTTGACCAATACTATTTCCAAATATGATGATTCAATGATATTTTGACAAACAGTTCGTTAGAAAGAGTCTCTCTAAGAACTGCATTGATTACGGAATCTTGTATGAAATAATTGATCACTATCTTGCTTCTGTTAGAATATTTCAGCTTTGGTTCGAAACCTTAAATGGACTTATTTCGAAATCGCCTACCGCTGAACTTATATTAATTTTGTTTTCATTACCTCTAGTACGTATCTTAATTCTTTGCGCTTAAATAAGTCAGACGGGAGAGTTTTATTCTGTGAAACCTTCACACCGCGAAAATCCTTAAAGGTGATAGGGCATTGAATGCGTATCTAGATAGAAATCATATCAGGGGTTTACCACGATAATGCAAATATAATCGACGTGTTTCTTAAACACTTTGTAGTGTTCATCAAAAGAGAATAGGATTCCAAATATTTTGTTTATCCAGAATTTATTTTAGTTCGATTGTATAGGAAGAAGCTTAAATTATGTTCCGTCTTAAAGTGACATTCCCTTTAGGCTTTTAACAAACGATCGAAATGTAAAAAGATCTGCGTCATACATTTAATCAACATCCTTCAAAATGTAGTGCAACGGGAAGGAAACCCAGAGTGAGTATACTTAGAAATAAAATTATTAACCTCTTAATCTTATGAAATATTCAGTTCAATACCACTCTTATTACAGACTCCATATTGTTCACTATCAGAATAGTTATATCTGATTCAAAGAGGTAATTTTGTTAAAATAATCCAGCGTGTGTGTTTTAATTAATATTCGTATTAATATTATTAGACAGGTGAAGAAGATATTTTACTGGAAATATATATCATACAAATCAGGCTCCATTGAGTACCTTACAACCAGAACAACTCGACTATTATTCTTCCTTTTTTACGGTATAAGAAGGAACACCGGATATAACCGTGTTTTGAGTTAAAACTAAGTCGGAGGAAATTACCGGAGGTAAGAAAAAAAACGTATTTCTCAGCTCGTATGACAATAATTTAACCTAAGTTTGATTTTAGATTCTTTTTAATACATGCCTGATTTGATATATGTACAAATATGAACAAAACAAAAATTATGATTTGACGTTCTTTTTTGTTTACGTAAGAAATTATTTCCAAAGTACAAAAAAAAAATCTAGTTTCTTTTTTAATCTCGTCCAAATAATTCTGTTCAAAATATTCTGAATGGGCAGTTTTCCTCATACAAATTGTTGTTAATATATCTAAACTGAAATCAACAATCCACACGGCAAGTGTACTGCGGGTATAGTATTATTTTCGTTTACTGGGTGTAGCAAATACCATGAATATACTGTTTAGGCATTATATATTCATACTCAAGGCATAAATCAATATCAGTTTCTGACTTTTTGACTTAATATAATTTAAATCATTGTTATATATAAACATTAAGGAATCAGATATAACAAATTTGAAGTGGCTTGATAAAATCTAGTTTCTAAATTTTACTTAGCTCCCATAATTATTTATATTGGGACATCACAATGGACAACGCTGGAAGTTCATTGTTTCAATCTTATAAAGCGTGAAATCAATATGATTTTGGATCATCTTAACTAAACAATTTGTATAGTAAAAACGAATAGTAGAAATCAAACCATATGATTTTCATTTAGAATGGAATCTAATTGTTTTTCTCATACTTATCTTACAAAAAACGCAATTTTTCACAATAATATAAAATGAACTACTTTTACGTGTACATTTCACAAGAAAACCCTGTTTTTAAAGAACACCAAAGGATGTAGCAAAATGGGTATTTGTCAATAGGTGGTCTTTCTTAACAGCTCATGACAGCATACACAATCGTGATCATTGTGTATTCACAGCACCAAAGGCACGTGTAAAAACGGTAGTGCAAGGCTCTTATAATATGATTCTATTGAACTCGTTCTACTTTTATACTACAATGAAGATGATGAAGGCAATAAATCATTTTCACTGCTCATTTTATATATTTTATACTCAGTACAGTTACTTATTATACCCGCTTTACATTTTAGCACATATTTGAGCCGTGACATGACATTTCCAACATAGTGGTCAAATTTGACATTTTCCTTTTTTCAAAGATTCTCAAAACGCAATCTTTTCTGATTTATTCAAGACAAATTTTTATTATTTTTGGACAATGAAAACTTGATTTATAACGCTTTTGAAAATTTATTAGTGACGACGTTTAATTTGACCATACACACATCCACTTAAAAGAGCAATTGTCTTTTAACCATATACTCTTATAGAGTGTTCGTTATATTAAACAATGATACCAGCGTGATGTAATATCTTCCTTATTTAGTGTTTATTCTGATTTATTTAATGTATATCAGCCCATATATGGATAATTAGAAATACTTGGAAAACATCTTGACGCTGGAAATAAAATAACATTTGAAAAAATAAATGTGATTATTGATTAATCACTTAAAGTAAGTAAGCTCTGAAAGTGTTCCCTGTTGCCAGGACAATATAACAAGTGTCGTTAGAACATATAAAATAAGATTTGTCAGCTCATTAATTTCCTTGAAATTCTCTTTCTTATAGATTTAAAATACGATTGAGTTTAACTGCGGAATAAAGTCATTATTGCGGTGGAAAAATATTTCAGTGAAGTAACGATTCATAAAAATATCACTTACCCCGACATGAATATATATTTTACAATTTAACAATAACCGCTTCCTTTGATTTATCCGACATACAACTTTATTAGCAGTGTCAATCATAATAACGTACATGCATGTAAGTCCTCGTACTCCCGGCCTTAAATTGTATCAGACTAACTGGACATATGTAACATTAATGAATAAACATTAAAATAGATCTGAAATATTATGATTTTGATTGGAAGATTACCTAAAAATTCGTTGACCGTATAACAGTAATTATGCAATAAACGTGGGCGGGTATGGTAAGTGCAGTTCTAATTTTCTAATGACTAATGAAAAAAGGAATTATCCTTCGAATGATAACTTGATTTGATTGAAACATAAATGACTTTCAGGACTGATTGCCCCCAACAAGTATGTTGATACGACTTGGACGTGTGAAGAACATAATCATCACATACCATAAATTACGTTCACAAAGATCAATTAAGTTTTATTACCCGTAATGATGAGGCTTTCGGCATAACTATATTTCACAGTGAGAAAGACACAAACACACATGTCCGAGTGGAATCTAATTGTTAAACTTTTTCTCATACTTTATCTTAAAAAGATATTTTTTACATTAATATAAAACCACATTGACAGCTTAAAATAAACTTCAGGACGGCATATTAGAAAATAAAATTGTGATCACAGTGTAATCACAGCACCAAAGGCACGTGTATGTGTATTTTCCTCCGCGAGCAACGGTGATTATTTTTAACAAAAAAAAAAGAATTCACAAAATTCTAACCTTTTTCTTGATACATGTACTTGTAAATATTCATTATCAGGCACGTATTCCTTGAAACTTGTAAATATTCATTATCTGACACGTATTTAGTGAAATATAAAATCAAACTCGGGTCAAATTAGCCTCATATGAGCTGAGAATTAGATTTTTCGATTTAGCTTTGACTCCAAAAGGATTATATGCGCTGTACGATCTTATAACGTGCTTTTTTATAGGGTTAACGCACGTTTTTTCGTGTTATAACGTCTGCAGAGTCCCGAGGAACGGTTGCTGCCCGAGGCCGGTAGGGCGAGGGCTGCAACAGTTCCGAGGGACTCTGCAGACTTTATAACACGAAAAAACGTGCGTTGACGCTATTATAGCATTTTGTTAAACATTCATGATGTACTAGTATATTTAATACAAAACACATACATTAAATCCTTGTGCTTGGACGTTATTTATCGAATTTTACATGTTTTACGTATGCGTTTTATTTTTCCGGGGCCAACTACTTGGGAAATTCAAATGCTCAGAACCGTTCGAAAAATCGAATTTTAATTGATTTAACAAAGCTTAACATTAGGGATTTTATTAACTCAAGAAAAAACAACATTAAATTACTCTGCCCAAGACAAGACATGACCCTCAGAAATTCCTAGAATGATTTCAGATTGACGGTAGAAAAAAGACCAGTGACATCAGAGTCGTTTCTTTTCAAGCTCACAAGTTTATAAAAGAATATCAGGTACTAAACATTATTCTCTCAAAGAAATATAAAGAACATTTGTCAATATAAACATAAATTAAACAACATTTTCTCATATTAATTTTGTGTGATCTTGTTTTGTAAGTTAATTAAACTGAATGACATTTATTTGTTTACATTGACAACTGTCCATTTCTTAGAAAAGGCGACAACCAAGATTAGCGGCTATGTCTATACGCCGTATTTCCGGCATAGTTACTTGAATGCTGCCGTTATGCAATTGAGGCCCTCGAATCAATAATTTCAATATAAAGCTTTGGCAGACAGGCCAAATCGTCATTGTTTTGTTTGTTTACTTGGCCCTGTATGTATTACGCATAGGTAAGTCCGGGCTATAACAAGGGCGCGTGAATATGTTAACACATGGTTTTGGTCCCGTTATGACATGGGCAAAAGAGGGGAAAATAGCCGATTTTATGCTATAATAAATATTGACGGAAGTTACCGAAAAGTTTGTCAAAGGGAAGTGGAGCGTCATTTAGGATATGGTTTTATTAAGGCTGTAACAGTTTTACATTTCATTACAAATACTTACATGCACGTTTTTAAAATGCCATTGCTAAAGCACCATTGTTTGATTTTTTTTCCTGATGTATACAAGACCAATTATATTTAACACCTGTAACAGAACACACTGAGAAATACTATGTGGCTATACCACGTGACCTTAAGCATTCAATATATTGAGTATAATTAATCTTTAATTATATATATTTCTAAGGACAGAGGACTACTGTGACACAGAGGTGACTTTTGTGCGCTTCTATTTATCTCGTGTGCACGATATACTATGCCGTGGCCACGAGTAACTAAGTCGTGTACACAAGATAATTAAGTGGTGCGCACGAGATACTATGTTGTGATCACGAGTTACTAAGTCGTGCGCACGAGATAATTAAGTCGTGGGTACGAGATAATATGTGCTCGTGCGCACAACTTAGTACCTCGTGGCCACGACATAGTATCTTATGCACACGAGTTACTAAGTCGTGCGCACGAGATAAGTATGTGGTGCGCACGAGATACTACGCCGTAGTAATGTGTTACTAAGTCATGGGCACGAATTAATTATCTCGTACATACGACTTTATAACTCTGGCCACAATCTAGTATCTCGTGCGCACGACATAATTATCTCGTGCGCACGACTTAGTAACTTGTGGCTACGACATAGTATCGCGTGCGCACCACTTAATTATCTCGTGTCCACGACTTTAATATATCTCGTGCGCACGACTTAGAAACTCGTTGCCACGAAATAGTATCTCATTCGCACCAATTGATTATCTCACGCGCACAACTTAGTAACTCGTGACCAGGACAAGGTATCTCATGCGTACGACCTAAATATTTCGACCTAATATATAAGTTACTCATCGGCACGACATAGTATCTCTGGTGCGTACGACTTTGTAACTCATGGTCACGACATAGTATCTCCTCTGCACGAGATGAATAAAAAACACACACATGTCACCTTCACTGTATAAGACTTGTAAGAAATCTTTTTGTTTTTATTTTTGAGTGTTTACCGCATCCCTCTGTCGCAGTTATGGAAAACAATGTGCTGGAATGTGGTCAGGAATCATTCAGAGGGTTTCTTACATTTGATAAACCGTGGGTAGCTTGTACAAATACGGGTTCTATACGCATTATCACGGCGAGATCGGTGATATTGATGAATAACATTCCTCGCTATTTCAAAGTTGATTACAAATAACATGCGTAAGGCGACAGCATTGGCAACACGCGAGTCTATTCACACATACATATGTTAAATATGTTACCCAATTTTAATTTGATAACAATATTGTTATCAAAATGAAATGAGTTGAAAACTATAAAAAAAAACATATTTACAATATATAGTTTAACATATTTACAATATTAATACGGTAACATTTTCACTATTTGGTCGATGTTAAATAAATTTCTAATATGATTTCAGCTGATGTTAAGGCCTGGACATCTCAAGCCATGGCGCTAAGTAAACAACTCTGTACGCGGGAGAAAACATTTAACTACCCAAGTAATGACGACCAACGTTCTGATTCATTTTCTGAAGTCTTCGACGAAATCAGCTTTTGTGTCAGACCAGAAGAAAACCGTGAGATAATAAGCAATCACCTTGACGATACTGATGATTCATCGTCTGCTAAACCAATTGTTAGCTGTGCAAAATGTGTGGAGCATGTACGTGTGGAGAGGGTGTCACAAATTCGGAGAGGCCATCATATAACTATGCCTGGTAACAAAGTTGGCAACAAGTATGATTCTGAACGCCGAAAGCAGAAGTGGCTATACATGCACCATGCCATTGTAAAAGATATAATAGCTAAGGATGACCGGAGGTCAATCGTGGAGCTGAAATTAATCCACATGTGGAAAAATGAACGCGGTGAACTAGGGCTTTGTGAGACGGAGACACAGTTCGCTCTTGTAAATGATGAGTTATACATAGTTGAATATAAACATCCAAGATTTACGCGAGAACAGGTGGTAGAACGAGCGGAGAAAGCGCTAAATGACCAAGAAAATGCTCGTAGTGAATCAAGATTCATACGGTTTAGTTCTTACAATGTGGTTACAACAAACTGTGAACATTTTGCCACATGGTGTGTGGTAGGACTACAAAAGAGCCATAGAGATTTGTATTTCTGGCAACAAATTGGAAAGAAAATTGTCGCAATAGGCGAGAGTTCACAAGTCATGGAGATGAAGACGCGTCTTGTTGAAATATTTGGAAATGCAAGCAGAATAGTAAAATGCCTCATAATACTGTTTGAGTCCTCTGATGAAATTACGAAGATAGTGGGTAACAGCATGCCGTGTGCAACAACAATATTAAGCGTCTCTGCTGCTATGTATGTATTATATTGCATAATAATGACTATATACTTTAAGTATAAGTACGCCAGGAGTGAAATATGTGCCTCGTGTTTTCGAAACAGTGTAAAGGATCTATGGGCTAGATGTTCTGTGTATGGAATCACCTCTATAGCCACGTTTTTCATATTGAGTAGCGGCGTATCGATTCCGGCTGTGGTGGGCTGTTTTGCGCTGATAGCGTTGTCGGTGGTTGGTCAACATTACATCCCAAATATACGAAAAGCTCTGATGGCCCCATACGGGTGCAGCAAGACCGCAATAAAACGTCTCGATGATATAAATATCGGAGATATTGTTACTATACAATACTGGGGTCTACCCCATGACGTCATTGTTACGGAAGTTCACACCAATAGCAGTGATGAGAAAGGCAAGATTCGAGTTGTTCACTATGCTTTAAACAAATTGTTTACCACTAGAGAGGTTAAAGAAGAATACTTTTCATTTAAATTGGTTAAAAAATATTTTCCTATCTTGCACCGTCATGACTGTGATCATTTGAATTTGTTTCCGCCTGAAATTGCTGTCCTAAGGGCAAAGCAGAGAATAGGTGAACGGAAATGGCATGTGACTAAAAACCGTTCCGATCACGTTTGCTATTGGGCGAAAGTAAAACAATCCTTTACTACAGATGACGCAGACGACACGTCACGTGAATCGTCTGCTCCTCTAGAGGGTCGAGGTCAATCGAAACATCTCAGTACCTTGTTTATGGGAGAGATGGAGGCACATCTCAGTAGCGACATAGAAATTGGAGACGCTGTAAGAGTTAAAGGTGTGGAGGGAATACTTGTATACAAAGATTGTGGAGAAAGGAAAATGAAATTGGAGATTGTCACTGTTAAAGATTCCGTGAAAAAGGTGAGGCAATTTGTAAATCTCAATACTGACAATGTTACAGTTTTGAGATACCATCCGGTACATTGTCATCCGAAACCAGTTCGAGTTGATCGGGCAAGATTGATTAGAGGCCAGCAAATTCCTTTGAAAAATTTTATGAATTTTTGTTTGTTGCTGAACAGTTAACTTTAAGTGACTTTTTATACAGATTCTGTTTTCGGCAGAATTAAAAATCATCTGTTTAGCCGGCCATAAGAATGTAACTACCCACCAAGCAAGACGTATGCGCTGATCTAGCGGAACTGTCAATTGTGATGCGCAGTAATGTAAGATTCCGAACTGATACCCAAACGCCTTCGGTTAAGTTAAACGAAAGAACTATAAATATCGTTATTGCATTATTATCCATTAGTCATTCATGTTAGAATATTTATTCATCATTATGTATCAATGTATTTGGTGAAGTGATACGATAGAAAAATAAACATAGTTATTGCATTCCTATCCATTAGCATTTCATGTTAAAATATTTATTCATCATTATTTATGACTATAATACTCGTGAATAGAGTTTTAGAATATTGTCAATACTAAACACTTTTTTGTCTCTCCAAATGTGGATAGCTACTTGCATGACTTAAGGTTAAACATTTACCGATTGTCGCCCCTTGGCGTTATTCATTTAATCAAATTTTAAGTTTCAAATGCTGATTTTTTTTATTTAGAGTTCATTTGTCCGGTAATTCAACGTTTTAACTGCAGTTAAAGATACTTGTTTTTCTGTTCAATGGGTCACATGAGTCTATTGTAAACATTACCTTTATTGGCTTGGCTAAACAGCCTGTGTTGACTAGGAGCTGCCTGTATAAGGCTTTAAAGTACTCGAAAATCAATCACTGGACTTAAATAAAGTAGAAATAAGAACAACAACACTAAACAAAAATAAACTAAAACAAAAAATTAAAAATACATTCCTCAGTGACGGCACTCATCTTGTTTTCAGTTTTAAATATCCATACCACAAAAGTACTAATTTTTCAGCACCATTAGTGAATTAATTCTACGAAACAACCTCTGCAGACCAACCAACCGTCTTTATGAGACAAAGAGTGTGTTTGTTACCGTGAGGTGTTGCTCTTGTATATTTTGAAGTCCTAATTTTGGAAGAAATGAAAATGTTATTATAAAACGGTTATTGCTTGACAGAGTGCAGTACATAAAAAGTCAAACTTTAATTTTTGTACCGCGTCCATGATTGGCCTTAGACCGGACATGTTATATTTGTAATGTTTTTTTCTACTATATAGAATGCTAAGATCAGCTTCATCTGTCAGTATTTCAATGAAATACATATGTAGTCTTTTTATATAAATGAAGTTATAAATACAAAGGAAAGAAAAGAAATCGATATTGTAATTTTATGTTGACTGTGTATAATTTCCTATTAAAGCAACATCTTTATCGTTTTGAACGCATGAAATGCATAGAGTATCATTGCGGGTTTAGTTGATGGCATTTTAACTCGTGTGTTTCGCAGAATATGCCGAACTTTTATGATCCATGTGCCATCGTAATCGTCGTCCTCGTGCAACCACTTTATTGAACACCATTTTTCAACACTTTTTCAAAAGGTATCAACACGGAATTTAATATGCTTGCCGATGATGACACGATGCAGTTGTTCACAAGGGGCATAATTTTGAAGTTGTGCCCGATTTTTGCTATGAATCTTTGTAGAAATGACAATGCAAACTTATCAGATACAAATGTAATTAAATTCTCCTATTAACAGTATTTCTGGGAGCTGTGTTCCTTTTTTCTAAGAATGTTTATAAAAAAATAAATTTGTTATTGTTAGAGCGATAAAAAATACCGCATGCGGTTCTCTTGTTTCGTTTTAATATGAGAAAAAAGTATTTGTTTCAGTTGAAAAGAAATAGAATGATTAATAAAATGGCTGTCATTGTACCTTTGAGTCTTGTTATGAATTTTAAAAAGATAATTTCATTTAAGTAACATTGTGCCCATCTAAGAGTATACAGTGCATGAACAGATAAAAGTCAAAATATGTTTACGTCGGGCCATAACTCCTTTCAATTTAATAATTTAGTTCGCAAAAACGATAAATTACTCGCGTGGCAAACTGCAATTTATGTAAATACCAATCGGCCTTTACCAGTAACGTTCTATTTATGAAAAATAGTCGGACACTCTTCATATTTCTCGCAGATTCATAATTTATCCTAAACATTTTCCAGTATCAACTGTTGGTCAATTATATTGTAACAGTCAATATTTCGAAACATATTGTTTTATTAGTGTCTTGATAAAGCACTTGTATTTGTCTCGAGTAGGCTGTTACCAGAGTTATTGTTCTTTATCAATATTTGGAAAAAAACTTAAGGAAAATGTGCTCATTGTAGACCAATCCAGTTTAATAACTACATCAATATATGGAGATTCAATGACATTTTGGTGTACAGTTCGTATTAAAGAGAAGTGTTTTAAGTGTATAATCTTTCATGAAATAATAAAATTTTTGCTCTTGTTACAAAATATCTTCGATGCTTCGAAACCTGATATGGACTTTATGTTGATTTTTTTATTACCTCTTCTACTTATCTTTTATGAAATAATAAATATTTTTGCTCCTGTTACAAAATATCTGCGATGTTTCGAAACCTTAAATGGACTTTATGTTGATTTTTTATTACTACTTCTACTTATCTTAATTCTTATTGCTTTACCAAGTCAGGCAAATGAGTTTTATCCTGTGAAACCCTCAAACTCCGGAAAGCCCTAAAGAGTGTAGGACAGTGAACATATCAGGGATTAAACAAGATATAACAAATATAATTTACGTATTTCCTAAACACTATGTAGTGTTCATCAAGAGAGAATAGGATTTCAACGGATTTGGTTTATCCAGAATTTATTTTAATTCGATTGTGTAGGAGGAGGCTTAAATCTTAAAGACACACTCTCGAACCCGTTCCTGGAACCAACAAGAACTGAGCAATGAGTGTGGTTTCTTGTTTAAGAAAACAACGGCTCTCTCCTGATGAGGTTTGAGCCCATGCGGGCAGCGATTCTATGGTTATTCGTCCGACGCAATAACCACTCGGTCATGCAGATACAAGGGTTTATTAAAGTGTGGTTGAGACAGGACCGTCTTTAAATGTTCTGTTGAAAATGGAAAAAATAAATTAACAAATATGGTAGAAACTACGGTGGCAGAAAGGTGGCATATGTGTGTTTTTATTTATCTTGTGCGCACGAGATACTATGTCGTGGCCACGAGTTACTAAGTCGTGGCCACGAGATAGCTAAGTCGTTTCAACGAGATACTATATCGTGGCCCCGAGATTCTTAATCGTGGCCCCGAGATTCTAAATCATAGTATGTCGTGCGCACGAGATAAATAAAAACACACACGTGTCACCTTTGTGCCACCGTATTTTTTAGAAAAAGGTGAGATTTATTCATACATTAACAGCACCCATGTATATAAAATTATATAAACGCCACGATTACTTATGAAAAGAGGCGTTACGAACATGCAGTTTTATAATCTACTTTAACCACTAAGCAAAGTTACTATCTAAGTGCCTTTATTATAAAATGTATGCATACTGCAAAGTACAATGAATATTGACTGTTTTCACGTGAGGATTTCCCTCTAAATTTTCTCTCTTAAGCAGGCCGTATTGTATATAATTGAAATTATATTTTGCAACGGTTGAACCGGGTAATGCTCCCCGACTATGTTTTGGACACAGAAAAGAATATCTTTTATAGATTAAGAGTTATGTCCCAGACAAAATTCAAAGTGTGATAATTCCAAACTAAGGCAAGGCAGAATTACTGTTCTTTGCACTGTACTTCTACTAAATGAGATTGATCTACCGACTTGCGCGCGACACGTCGTCTCAATATGGTGATCATTTCTGTAAAATAGTTTTAAAATCCGTCTTTAATTAACAAAGTTATGGGCCGGACACGATTTTGCTGCAAGGTCATGCTGTGACTTTGAGCTTCAAGGTAGTGACTCAAATGTTGCGCGCGACACGTCGTCTCAATTTGGTGATCACGTCTGTGAAATAGTTGTAAAATCCGACTTCAAATAGCAAAGTTATGGGCCGGACACGACTTTGCTTCAAGGTCATGCTGTGACCTTGACTTTCAAGGTAGCGACCCAAATTGTGCGGGCGACACGTCGTCTTAATATGGTGATCATTTCTGTGAAATAGTTGTAAAATCCGACTTCAAATAACGAAGTTATGGGCCGGACACGATTTTGCTGCAAGGTCATGCTGTTGCCTTGACCTTCAAGAAAGCGACCCAAATTTTGCGCGCGACACGTCGTCTCAATATGAGGATCATTTCTGTGAAATAGTTGTAAAATCCGAGTTCAAATAGCGAAGTTATGGGCCGGACACGATTTTGTTGCAAGGTCATGCTGTGACCTTGACCTTCAAGGTAGCGACCCAAATGTTGCGCGCGACACGTCGTTTCAATATGGTGATCATTTCTGTGAATAGTTGTAAAATCCGACCTCAAATAACGAAATAACGAAGTTATGGGCCGGACACGAATTCGGGACGTACGGACGGACTGACGAACGGACGTTCTCACAGGACGGTCATTATGTGGCTACTCTATTGTTATCTCTCCTGTCCTTTTTAGCCACACAAAAGAAAATGGCCACATTAAAGCATTATAGAATGAATGGCATCAAAGAGAAAGAACAGTTACATTTTGTCCCTCTAGCCACATAATTACTGTCCTGTGAGTGCGGAAGGACGGACTGACTGACGGACGGAAGGACGGACAACCCGGCGACTTTATGCTCCCCGAAAAATCTTAAAGGTTGTTAAACTTCAAAATACTTTCACTTTCTATTTCGTCTTAGTTACAACAAAAACATCGAAATGTAAATAAATGCGTCATACAAAGTCTAACGGGTGAGTAGACATAAAATTATGAAACTTTTAATCTTATTTATTGCAAAGATTACTTTCGCAATAAGATCTAGTACAGTAACTTTATAATTCGCTTTATCTTGTCAAACTTTACATGGGAATATATTGTTAATGCATTGAAGTTGAGAATCAATCTTATTGTACATGCCGTATATAATAGATATGTTGCCTCTACAAACTCATATGATCTAAAACAAAAATGTACATACAGTCTACAGTTATTTAAATGCTGGCCTCTAAGTTAACATACAATGGGCGAAAGCATTTCCTCTGACTATATAAATATAAAAAAAGAAAATGTGCAGATTTTGCCATGCTTATCCATAACATAGTTATATATAAAGTTTCTGTTATTTATAAATGTGTTCAGCTGCTAGATGATTCAGGCACGACGCCAAAATCCTGGCATCATATATTTATTGTGCAAGCAAAATAGGTCTTCATAGTAGTAAGGTACATGTATTATGAACAACATTAGTTTTGCTTGTCAGATTTAGATCTATTTGTTTGCATGTTTCATTGATTGTTTTTGTTTGTTTGTTTTTTGTTTTGCAGTACAACACCTATTAAAACTAAGATGTGCAAGCAAATCTTAATGTGTGAATGCTACTTTTTCTTATATTCTTTCAACTTAATACTAGATTTACAGGATAAGACATGTTCTATCTCTTAATACTTGTTGTACAGACCTCAAACGATGACAGATGACATATTTCCCATTTATCCCCTGATAATGTGTTTAATGAATGAAATTCCAGAACAATTAGGTCTAAAAGGTATACATAGTAGTAAGATGGTGAAACACTCTTCAGGAGACCCAAAGTTGTGGTAAGATCGAATCCCAAATTATTCAAAAAATGATCATATCATGGCATTGAACTGTTCTTTCTCTAATCAGTGGAGGTAATTTGTAGGCGGCCGGATATCTAAGCCGGTAGAACCGCAGTACGCTATTCCCAGGGTCCCAGGTTTGAGTCTCGGTCGGGCTGCACATTAATCTCGTCCTGTGACAATTATAGACTTGAAAAAATGGAGGTATTTCTGAATCAATCATTACTCATGGAGAGAAAAGAATAATTTTATTGAGTAAAGTATGTAAGGGATCAATTTGGAGGGGGCTGTTTTTTAGGGAAACCTGATGATTCCTACAATGCAGAATAACTGTCTGAATGCAAGTGTTGTATTGCTTTGAAAATTGTACAACATATCTCTAATTATTAAAATGTTATTGTACTCAAACAAGAGGGTACCAA